TTATATGGATATAGATACATAGGTATATATGTAGACATTATGTTCAAACTTATTATGGACGTCTGTGTTAAAAATATTGTTAAATATACGTCAATTAAAAATATAAACGTTAAATTATAAAAAAAATATATACGTTGGTAACATTCATGTGAATATAAACGCTGTTACGTAACTTGTATTGCATATTTTAAAAATAACTTCAGGCGAAAAATACATTGAAAGAATAATATGCATAAATATTGAAAATTCAATATTCGGAATTTTTGCATACATCTCTCGCAAAAATTCCGAATATGCAGTTATTCTTTTAAATTAAATTTCCGAGGACGCTGCCGATAACATATTTATTGAGAAAACATGAATGATTCATCAAACATGTGAATCGTAGTAAAACATTTAAACAAGTAGATGTTTGAATTTAATTAAAAAAATAAACTAAATCGACTTCTTTTGATTCAATGTGAAGGAACCGCTAAAAACAGTTGTTTATGATGTTTACAGCACACTTGGCTTCATTCGCGCCTACCACACACAAACGCGTAATTTGCTGACAGACAGATATTGGGGAAGTAATATTTTAACTAATAATACAATACCATGTAACTTTCCGAATGATGTTATTTCTATTTGCAATAACATTATTAGAATTTAATATTATACATAACTTACTATTTCTCAGTTAAAGACGATATCATGTTGTATTGTTAGAATATATACGCATGGGCGCAAATCCTGATATCTAATACCCAGTGATACGTAAACGCATATATATATTCCTGAGTATCGATAACATAGACATATGCAGTTGCGGATTTGCCCAGTAGCAATAGCTATAATACTCTAGGTGTAATCCTATAGGCCTCGTGCATTGAAGGGCCCCAGGCACTCCCTTGTTGTCTGAACATTATAACAAACAATATATAATCTTAGTATTATTCTGCTAGTGCTGAGACTAAGCCGATTAAGTGATTAAATTAATTGTTATTGGTGTTATTTTTAAAACTAAACTTAGAAACTGAAACCAAACCTAGGACCTCCTGAAAGAAAGCGGTACCTAAGGTTTTCGTATAGTATGATTACCTTGATATAAGTATGTAATATTATGTTATCTGTAATATAAGTAAAAAAATAAGTATTGACTCGAACTATATTTAAAAGTGGCAGTAGATTTGACTTATGATTAGTGACTCCAAAAGAGGTACATATTCTTTTGGAATAGTAACGCAGCACGATCGGGTCCCACTGTAAGCATGTCTTGTGTTCTGGGTACAAGACAAATGATATAAATCTTAGATAATTTTTTTGTAAATACATACATATAAAACACCCAGACCGATACAAACAATCATCATCAAATACAAATGTTTGCACCATACGAGGAATCGAACCCTCGACCATCGGGAGTAAAGCGGCATGCTAACCCGCTAGAGACCGTCGAATATATTTGTAACGAGTATTTAGTATCAATAATTTTCAGTACATAATACATTGCAATATCGGCGTTATATAGACATTGTCATATTTTTTGTTTAATTGGAATATCAAACAACCTGACGGCCCACTAAATGGTAAATGGTGACCGTCGCCTATATACTATACATGTATTTATATACATGTATAGTATATAGGCAACCAGGCATCAGGTTATATAATAATGATAATAATAAAGAGGGGGAGAGGAAGACACATAGTTACATCAAACAAATTAAAGCCAGAATTGGAGTCGTGTCGTATCAAGGCTTAAAGAGTATGAAGGAAGATCGTAGAAAGTGGCAAGAGCTCCAACGACAAGAGCGTTGCTCTTAAGTTTATGAATGATGAAATATAAAAGAACCTAGACAACTAACACAGTGCCACCTAGCCCCAAGATAAGCAGAGCTCGAGTTATCTTTTTGAAAATACATACATAATATATATACAACACACCCAGACAGATACAAACAATCATGTTCATGAATATAATTGCTTGCATCGTACGAGGAATCGAACTCGCGACCATCGGAAGTGAAGCGGTGTGCTAAACCGCTAGACAACCTAGACTATTATAACGCCCGATACCATTCATGCGTTAGCATTCCGGAGTCCTAAGTTGTCATGCCTGTTAACCTGTAATTAGAGTGAAATTAATCAGTATAATCTTAACCTATAACTGAATGAAACAAAGCAACCTGCTTGTCGACAGAAATAGGTGAGCCTGACGTACCCACGTAACTTTTTACAACGTATGCCTCGGTTATACATATCTAGTTTTAATGTCTGCTACTGAAAACCAATAAACGTATAGTTATTGAATACCGTCTAAGTAATGGCTTTATTGCTCCTGTCTACAGTTTCGCCATAACAATGTACCTAAACCTAACGACGAACAAAGTCACCTTTAAGTCGTAAGGATGTCATAAGGCATGCCTGCGACGTGTGTATATTGTACCCAGCTAATAAATAATTTTATTTTCTCATTGTTTTTTTAAATCCGTTGACAATTAATATTTAAGTTCCCCGGGAATTTTCTAGAAAGACTCAAAACTGAGCTCTCAAGTTTTGAGTCTTTCCAGAAAACGTCGTTCTAGAAAACGTCGCGTCGCATCGCAACACCCTTCCGCGCTATTACTGCACTTGCGCTTGCTGTTGCTATGACTTTTTTGCATTTACCCGTCTGCTGAGTTTCATAGCGTGACGTTAAATAGCTTACGTAACTTCTTCAAGAAGTACTTCCAAACGCATACAAGTTTCGTATTAAATTGACAGGTAACGTATAGGGATAACGTATTGATTTTATATGTCATAAGAATATAGTATTGTTTAATCCTTATGAGTAATTGACTGGTACCTGGGCATCAAAAAGTAATTTCTAATGCTCATGGCACGGATGATGACTAGGAAGACTACCATGTCCTGATATAGGGTGGGGGGGAGTAACGGTATGTTTGACGTTCCAGTAGAATAAAAAGAGAAGTATCATGCCAACATCAATAAGAGTCAGACGTATTGTGTCCTATATACCTTTTGATACGATAACATTTAACAAGCCCACATTTTGCTGCGTATGTATATTTATGGCGTGGGGCGGGTGGCTTGCCCCCTTGCGGTGCATTTTCTCTCGGATACGTTTGGTTTGTATTCGGTATTTAACATCATCGGAATGTAAGTTAAAATTTATATACATGCTCTCGGCATAAGCTAACTCAGAACTCATTACCTTTGAGGAAATCGGTGTAAAAAATAATTACGCCACTACCTTTCTATAAAAGTAAATTCTCGCGATGAAAAGGTACCTAACATGAAAGTTCAGATTTGGTAAAAATATCATGTAACATATGTACACAAACAAATTAGAGTCGACTTGAGAATTTGATTGAGAGGTATTTATCTACATTTTAAGAGGATTTCACCAATCAACTTGTCTGAGAACCCACTTATTTTGTAAGTATTCCATAAAAAGATACATGAAAACATGTTACATCAACGTTATTAAGTACATAAGTCACGTTATATTGGCATTTTTACATTGAAAGGTGTCTAGACGTCTATCTGAAAGACTTAAATACTATCCTATTAATAATATTAAACTATACTTTATTATATCGTGGCTTTTGGAATGGAGAAAAATATTTTTAAGGCCATTTTTCTTGGTATAACAAATCGCGCGGTCAATGAATCAAGCGGAATCGAATAATAATTTTACTCTATTTTGTATGACTTGCATCATTCTTAAGATAAATAAATAATAAATATTATGTACGTGTAGTGCATAAGTATTCTTCCAGGGGTATATAGCCATAGGGGTTGACAATGATATCTTAGTCATGTTCAAAATTATTATGACTAGAGAATGGGCTATAATTATGTAATAATGTTGTTAAGAATTCTCAATTGAAATCTACAACTTTGTGATTACATACGGACTGTGCTATAGTTGCAATTATAAACGAACTTAGCGAAACTGAAATAGTACGCAGAAAGTACGTACACATCCATCAATACCTTAAACCATGACGTAGCCCTGCAACTAGGCTTTGACAGGCCTGGTTTTCCCCAGATGCTAATAATAAGTTTATTTCATCTCCACAAAACGATTCTAGTTTCTGAATATATAAATGCCTGTAAATATACATAATAACTATATATATACTTTGTGGGAGATGTGGAACCTAAACTAAGCAGTAGCTTGTATCTAACAAACCAGGCCCTCTTCACTGTTGAATAGTAAAACATTTAATTTTAGGCCTACAGTAAAGTCTAAAGTGTAAATCGTCTTAAGCATATTATATCTTTATACTCATATCCTCTATACAGTAAATTTATATGTATATTCTAATCAGATTAATGCAATTAATAAAGTTAATGATCAAATGTAATATCATTTGATCATTAATTTTATTAACTGCAGTTAGGTTAGCACATTATTTTTAGAAAATGAATCCAATCAATTATTGTTCTAATTACCGAATTGATTCTCCAGAAATAGTGTATATGTGTATCACCTCAGTTTCAATCAAAACGACATCACAAGAGTATTTAGTTCTTAATTACATTGAAACAAGTCTAAAATCGATACGAGTAATTAATAAATACATTAATATAAAAGCGCAATCGAGTCCAATGGAAATAATATTAATTGCAATTATTGCAGTTATTGAAGGGAAAAGTAATCGTTAGTACTAGGAACTAGCATCTAACAATAAATGTATGTCACATTAGGTCGGGTCAGGATGGCCTTCAAGCGGAGCCCTGGAAACCATCGTGGTTAATACCTGGCGAATCCAGCGGTATTAATTAAATGTCTTCCTAAATTTTGCAGGAACAAATAAAAATATGTAATGACCATAAAGTTGCTAGATGCGATTATTTCTATTATGTTATTGTCACGTGTATGTTTTCAGGAGCATTATTAGCTCCGCCCCATTCCACCCTCAGGACTGCGTCGGTTCGTTACTTATGTACCTATGACGACTATAAATACCCCATTCCACAACCTATATTCCCATTCGGACCCTGTTCGTTGCCCAGTATAGTTGTGCACCTTTGCCGAGTCTAGCTGTGCACTTTTGCCGAGTCTAATTGTGCAAGTTCGTTTCCCAGTGTTTTCAAGTTATCGCGCCGTGTCGCGGTAATTTGTTCGTGAACTTCTAAAGCAGCTTCATGCCGGTGAGTAAATTTTTAATTATAAATTGTGGATGATTTATGATTTCATCTCCATAAATCATACATGACGATGATTTATGTTTTAACACTAAAAAAAAATTCTCTACTTTTACTTAGAATTGAAATTTACTCTAATTCCTGAAAAGTCAATTATAGCTTGATATAAATTTGATTGAATACAAAAAAATTAAATCATCAGTTATTACTAGATATAAGTTTTATTTCTTTAAATAATTATATATATAGTCATGATCCTGGAATATATTAATTATAATATATAATAATAAGTAGAAAAAGTTTGGAATAACTATGGAAAACGATCCCGATATCTACAAAAGAATAAAAAAGTAACTAAAACAAAGATGAAATATCAACGGGAAAGATTTTTATAAGTTATATTTCTTATCTAGATATATAAGTGTAATTCTTTTTGTGTACGTACATAAAATAACACTTTAATCTAAGTAATGTGTGCGGTGTAGACAAAGAGGAGATCATTTATTCTTAAAAAAAAAAAGATAGTCATGATTTTCTTCTCGCTTTCATAGTTACAACCCACGGGGCATTCCAGCGTGCTTTTTGTTTAATACTTGATGTATTATATGTATAATTCTTAAAAAGTGAATATTCGCGAGTCCGTTTCGGAAGTGTCTGGCTGCTGTTACCACGTTCGTCTTATACATAACTTTTTACGTTTACATCAGATACATAATTTTTTAAGTACTTTTAATGTTTATTAATTCTTATTCCATTCTGGTCTATTGTTTATCTCTTTCCTTGTTACTTCGTGACATCTGATTCAACCATCGTGAGATTTGGCGTATGATCATAATATTTTGTCTTAGGTAATTTCATCTATTTTTTTGTAAAAAATATAATAATTCCGTCCATCAGTCCTTCAGTTATTTTATTCACAGCGCTTCAGATTTCTGAATCAGTGATACCATCGATATGAAATTTAGAATAATTTCAAGTTGTAAAAAAAATATCAAGCAGAATTATATAGTTAGTACATATTTCACCGACCCGCGCAACTTCGTCTGTGACTCATTCCATATTCACTGAAACGAATTTTCTATATCGGAAATTACCTCCAGACAGTCAAACTCAAACTTAATATTTCATAATATGTGATGTCACATAGACACAGACACATATAAAGACACAGACACAGACACAGACACAGACACAGACACAGACACAAACACAGACATAGAAACAGACACAATTACAGACAAGGACACAGACACAGACACAGACACAAACACAGACACAGACACAGACACAGACACAAACACAGACACAGACACAGACACAGACACAGACACAGACACAGACACAGACACAGACACAGACACAGACACAGACACAGACACAGACACAGACACAGACACAGACACAGACACAGACACAGACACAGACACAGACACAGACACAGACACAGACACAGACACAGACACAGACACAGACACAGACACAGACACAGACACAGACACAGACACAGACACAGACACAGACACAGACACAGACACAGACACAGACACAGACACAGACACAGACACAGACACAGACACAGACACAGACACAGACACAGACACAGACACAGACACAGACACAGACACAGACACAGACACAGACACAGACACAGACACAGACACAGACACAGACACAGACACAGACACAGACACAGACACAGACACAGACACAGACACAGACACAGACACAGACACAGACACAGACACAGACACAGACACAGACACAGACACAGACACAGACACAGACACTGACACAGACACAGACACAGACACAGACACTGACACTGACACTGACACTGACACTGACACCATATTACAGAGGAAAATTAGTTGAAGGGTGAAGATAAGGCATTGAAATCACAGGATTCGAAGGCGTAATATCTTAGTCCTGCGGAAGAGCACCGTATGAGTGCTATCACATGTGACACATGATATCGTGTTGTCCGTTCATTCAATAATTATCTATTCCGATAAGATAAAATAATATATTAAATATTGTCACGCTTGAAAATTATTAAAATCGACTATATTTCCCAACTTTGTATAAGTTCCTACAATAATTCATATTTTTAATTATCCCGTTTGGTCCGTATTCAGTTTCTTGTCGATCCGACTTTTATATGCGTGTAGTATAGAACTAGAATATACGCTAACGTATATTCACAACAATAATAAGAATTCATTCTTTCATTCATTCAAAGATTCATCTCTTTCCGATAATCAACGCCAAATCAATGATGTATCAATATACATAAGTACATCCTAAAGTAGCATGCTTTGTTTATATTATTACATACAAATTCCTTTAACTACAAAATACTACCATCTATTATGACTATGAGTAATGTACATTTTAATAAAATGTTATTTTTCAATTTTCTTGTTTTTATTACGAGGAACGCAAAATAAGGAACCACTACTGACGACACTGATTTGAAAAACTTGTCTTTTTTATTACATCTTGTAGTACATACATACATGTATTTTTTACATTGGAAGTAAAACAGTGTACTAGACATCTAGACCACCGATGCAGACAATACATGATGATATGACAGTCCTAGTATCCTTCCTGCATTTTCATTTTCATGCCTCTGTACCTTGTAATTTCACTACTAATCTCTCTAACTGAAACCACCGTCCTCAGCATACAAAGAAATTGCTTTGAGGCTAGCTGAAATGAGTGAGACATAAGTGAAAATGCAGACGATTTTGTACAAAGTCTGGTGAATTAAAGTAATATGCAAAAACAGAAGCCATATCAGGCCACTATTAATGATATATAATTCAAAGCTATGATTGCTTCAACGATCTATATTAAACATCTTGTAATAAGAGAAATAATTTTCTACGATCTAAATTGGAAAACTGAAAAATAAATTTATTACCGGTACTTATTTGGTTTCAATTTAATATCTTGGTGTGGACATGCCATACCGACTAATAGATACGATATTTTATGTAGGTATTGAGTGTGATTCATGATGTGATGTGCATGACAAACTACAGACATGGAGACATACAGACATGCAAATACGCAAACATGCATAGATGTAGACATGCAGTTTTGCCGACTTGCAGTCATGTAGACTTACAGAAATGCAGACATGCATACATGTAGTATTGCGGACATGTAGTAATGCAAATAAGCATACATGTAGAATTGCGGACTTGCAGTCATGAAGACATGCAGAAATGCAAACATACGGACATGCAGACTTGCAGACTTGCAGTCATGCAGATATACAGATATGCAGACATGCAGATAAGCAGACATACAGTCTTGCGGACTTGCAAACATGCAGAAATGCAAATATGCAGACATGCAGATAAGCAGACTGGCATACATGTACATATGCAGACATGCAGTATTGCAGACTTTCAAATATGTAGACATGCAGATTTGCAGACATGCAGATAAGCAGTCATGCAATATTGCGGATTTACTGTCATGTAGTCTTGCAGAAATGCATATATGCCTACATGCAGATATGCATACATGTAAACATGCAGATAAGCAGACAAGCAGTATTGTGAACTTGCAGACATGTAGAAATGCAAAGTTGCAGATTTGTAGATAAGCAGACATGCATACATGCAGTATTGTAGACATGTTGTCATGCAGATAAGCTTACATGCAGTACTGCGGACTTGTAGTCATGTGTATGCACATGCAATCACAGAATATCATAATCATGCACTAAATCAAATATTTCCTGCTCATAAAATGAATACAAATACAAATCATTTTTATAAATTAATATATATATACAATAATATACATATACTTCGTAAAAAAATCTATTGCGCGCTTGCCATAAGTACCATAAGTCCATTCTTAAGTTTGGGCAATATTATGTAGATTGGAATGCTCTTTGATTGTATTCAGTCGTATAGAGATTTAAACATATGTAGTGGTCAATCCGTGGGTTGAACACTAGTTAAAAATAAACCAGTGTCTGCAGTTATATTTACACTACGGTTTCGTAGACATTATAAACAAACAGTATCGGTATGTTTATTTTAAAATACGGAATTTATTTTATTGTTTTCAAAAGCAATTTCTGATGATTTACATATAGTCAGTAAAAAAAATATATATTAACCCTTTTTTATCTGTATCGTGTATAATTATACGTATAAACCTTTTTTATGTGTAACGTCTCCAATATTATGAACAGTGTATTTTTTATATAAAGACATTCTTATTAGTATATTTAAGTGCATTGATTACCTATTATGGTTAATATTTCAGCATGCCACTAGCTGACATTAAATAATTTGTATGACTGACAATCCATAGTTAAAATTCAGATGAATTAAATGAAATTCGAAATATTGATAGATTTATCTTATAAAGAAGGCTAGGATGATAATTATATGAAAGAATTTTTAAAAATATGACCTAGGCAACTTGTCATTCAAAAGAATTGAAATAAAATATTTTTAGAAATTAACAAACAATGCACATATTCGGTAACCAATTAAAGGTTTCTGTAATAACGAACACATGAATTAACCTAGTAATTAAGTTACATGACGCTTTACATACATACTTTATAGATATTTTAATGTCTTACATTCGACAATAATAAGTTGAACTCAATTGTAAGCTGCCGGTGACAGTAATACCCTTTTATATTATCGCTAGGGCGTTGAATAACGTCGCTTTCCAAAAGATATCGCTTTATTTTAGACTTCTCGCAGTACACTTTCATTGGCGGGTTATACAATGCAAGAACTGTTATAAATCTTGTAAAGAGAAGTCTTTAGACAATCCAGATTTCAGTTTGTACACAAGAGATGCATCTCTAATGAAACTTAATAAAATATTAATATCTTCTGGACTACATAGGAAAGAATCTGTTAGATCCCAAACGAATAAAATATTTGTTCATTGTAATGGCGGTTAACATATTATTACATACATATATAAGTATCTAGAGTTAGATAAAATTGATTTATATCAATATTGGCTACGCTTCACTTGTTTATAGGATATTACTAAATACTGAATTGAGTATCAATTCTAGACTTAGAACGCTTATATTGAATCCAATATGCAACCAATAAAATATATTCGAACAAGCTCAATATGTGAAGTCAATAAGTCAATAATATAATATTTCTTCATTTTTCTCCATTTTTATACACCTTATTGCTTTATTTCCTGTGAGCTTTATAAAATAGATTAGACTTTCCTAAGAGTTTGATTACCTATCAAGGTATTTATGGTGTTTCCTATTTTAATTTTTGGCTAATAGCTCGTAGAATGGTGAGAATATCCGATGCGAGCAATTTTAAGGGGAGGCAACTACCCTCCCTCTCTGAAAGGGGTTAAATTTCTAGTGATCAGCTTACATATTACACTATCCAAGATATCCACTTTACTGATACAAACTTCTCAAAGTATTGTACAAGTACAGCGTTGTGCATTATTTATTAAATCACTATGATAGCTGATAGCTGTAGCTGAGCTTGTAAAATACTGATCTATTGATCGTAAGTCAGTAAATAAATTTACGTTAATCGTTTCTCAGAGTTAGCCAAATATTTGTTCATAAATTCATTACATAAACAATTGAGGTAAAATTTACTAAAATTTTAACGGAATTGTTAGTTACTTACTAACGAATTACTTGTTAAATGAAATGTAGGAACTAAAAAGAAATCTAAAACCTGTCTAGAGAACAATCACGTTCTGAAATAAAATGTAACAGGAAAACGTTCTCGTCTACAATTGTTAGCAGTTGTAGAACCATTAGTAATAATTTCAGGCGGGAATTTTTTTCATTTCATTAAAAACCAAAAAAAATCTCTAAACGGCGCCATATTCAATTTATTCTGACGCCATATTGCTTATAACCAGGAATTTAGACATAAAAGAACAAATGAACCTACTGGTATTTTCCTTGTCGACTTAGAATTGTTCCTTTAGTCGCCACTTAAAATGGCCTAGGAATAAAACAAAATGCTGACACACTTGTATTGTTATCCAGTGATATTAAAATACAAAAATTGACAATACATACAATAGAATTCAAAATACGTGATATAATGAAGTCCATTCGAAACTTACTGGCAAATACGAGTATATTTTCATACCTCGGACAGACGGCCCTATGCAACGAATAAAACAGAAGCCATTGTTCTATTATTCGTTGGACAGCACGAAAAGGCATGTCTTGTCTGACTGTTGTTGTAATTTAAACACTCTTAACTGTTTTGAAATAGTGATTTCATTACAGTTTCAAGAGTCTTACTTCAGGAGTACCTAAATTCCTATAAGTCATTATATCTCCTGAATGTTATTATGCTCACCAAACTCCTTAAAATAGATGCTAATGGCGCTTTTTTTCGTCTATAGAATCTAACAAACAGAGATATTAAAAACTTAAGAATATAATTATTATAAAATATTATTCAAACTTAATTATTTACGCAATACATAAAGAAGTTCTTCCTATAATTAAACTCCTTAGTGTTGCCGAATTTGCTACTCGTTGAATATGAAGAATTTTATACCGGTGAATGGCTTTATAAATATTTGATAAAGTATATAGAAGTTATTACTACTACGTACTAGTTTTTTTTTTGATGGATGATAATGGTATGAAGTTAATCAATCAAATAAAAATCGTGGAAATCTCTTGTCGATTACTTGGAAAATAGCGGGAATGTTACGAAATTTATTAACGAATGTTAAGAATTTTCCATTCGTTTGCTACTTTGCTGTATTGCAACGCGGTATTGGCTTGTTTTGTGTAATAAAGCTTGTTAAAACCCCATTTCCTATGAAACCATAAAATAATGTGTTATAAGCCGTTACAGTTTATGTTGTAATTGTGTTGATAAATTGAAAAAATATTTATTTTTAATATCATGAATTACAATCGAAAATTACTAAACGTCGTGAGTTCAATCGGATCGACACTGTTACGGAAAAAATGTGGAAGCGCGTGAGATTATATGTCAGTTGTACGTTTCGCTCGCTCTAAACATATTTATGTTTACGTGAAATTTAATCTATAGGTAGACGAACTAGTTTAATCAGGGATCCTTTGAAGATACCTGTGGAAGTTTTCACATCAACTACACGAATTATTTTATCCTGTCCAGGGTGCACACACGAAATACGTTCGCGACGCCATTTTAAGGTCATTGTACGTTATCTTGCTTAATAAATACTAGTTCTCCTACGGTAGGAGGAGTGTTAGGAGAGGTGCACTTGTTGTCTTGATTGTAAGGTATTAAGGTAATCAAAATGCCTAGAAATAGGAAACACATTCGGGAGTTGGGACGTTTTCTATTTTGAATGAACCGATGTAAATAACAAGTTACATGTATTAATTTTTTTAAGGAACTGTCTCTCTAATTTTATATAATGAATCAGACCTCTGAATACTACCTCCTACCTAGGAGGAGAAATATTCAATAATATACATCGCATCGCATTAATTAGGGGGTTCTCCTATTTTCCAAAACTTTTCTACAATTTGAGATAAAAAGACACCAGTTATAGCAGATTCAGATTAAAAAAATAATTCAGGTACAGAACCAGACAATGAAAATCTAAGGACGGTATTTGTGGCCATGAGGCCGCAAGGCAAAATACTAAGTTGTGTACGTTCGGGATGGTATTGATATTACAGCCTTTGAACCAACTTGCTCTGAGGAAAACTGCATCGTTATTAATTTTAAAGTATTTTAAGAACCCCATTAAATACCTAAATTCTTTGGATAATATATTACTTTCTGGCCGACATAAGAATATTAAAATTATACTATTTAAAGAACTCCGAATACTTTCGGACCATAAACTACTTATTCAGCTGTAGAAAGCGTTAGTAGAATGTCTACTTACCTGGAACTTGAACTTGTACAAAGAGCTGTGGAAGCGTCTCCACGCTACTGGAAGCGTCTCGACGCTACTTCGACTCTGCCCAATCCCACCCTAACCCGCTTATAGTCAGTATCCGACATACGTGACAACGTCGCCCGAGGCACGTTCTCATTGACCCCGACGAGCCCATAACGGCAGGTAACCTCCCCACGGGCCCACCCGTTCCACCCCGACCACACTTGTACACACACACACGACACCGTCCTCGCCAGCGAAGACAACGACCTCAAACACACAATATCGCGCATTCAACCGGGCGCTCCACACCGGCACCTCCGGGCGCCCCTCCTATCGATCCCCCGTCCAATTCAAACGGGAATCGAAATTACGATGGCCTGAGCCGAGGTTCGAACCCCTAGTGGTGCCCTCAGACTAAAGTCGTATCCGTCAGGCAGGAGTTGGCCTTCAGCCGCTCCATAAGTCCTTCCGCGGGTTTGGAGTGCCATCTGCACTCGCCCCCTAACGTCCGTTGAAGCTGTAAAGGCAAGCTGCGACCAACAGCATTAGAATAGTACGAAAAAAAAACAAAGAGCTGTACTAAAGGTACTGCTATGCCTACCGTTTAGGCATCCAACATGCAAAGTATATGACCTAGCCAATGTCCTCTCTGTTCGCAAACTATATATATATACCAATGTATTCGTAGATGCCATGGAAGTGCATCATCTATATCCAACAATAATAAAAGACTTCATCGTTATCCTGTACCTAAGGTCAAAAGTAAATTTGTACGTCCGCCAGTATCTTGCGCCAAAACTATAAAATGTGTTTAGTCAGGTTGTAAACCCAAAAAGTATGACTCAATATCAAATTAAAAATAAAATTAAACAAGGTTTAAATCAGCTACAATACGATGATACGGAAAATTTGATAAATGTTCAGTAACATTCTTTATTAACATCTCAAAGATAAATATGCCAATATTTTTTTTATTACAAACATACACGCATCAAATGCGTACATACACACTTACCTACATATCCATCACACATTCATCATACTTGTACATAAGACACACACAATATACTGCAAAATGTTATGTTTATTTCAACATCTTTATTTTTCGTATAACTTTGATTTTTAAATATGTATCTTTAGGTAAAGTATTGTTTATATATATCATGTTATAATAGTTTTCATCAATCTATAATAAAAGTTCAAGTATTGGGAAGGAACTGGCTTCTGTCATACGGCTAATGCTAGTTCAGAAGCCAGAACTACACATAGATACTGAAAGGATTGATATTGTCTAGAAAGTGCACCTATTGTAAATAATATTGTAACGACCCTTCTGAATTAAATAAAGATTATTATTAAAACAAAAATTAACTAGTGTGTTTAAGGAGGAAAGAAATATCTGTGATAATAAGATATTTCTTTCCTTCACTAAATAAGTAGATAGGTAAGTATTACTGTGTTATTTACAAATATTAATATTATCAGGAGGATTAGCTAGGAACGTCGCGCGCGTCTCTGACTGTGAGATGTGGTCGTTGTAACAGTCAATATCATGGTAGGGAAAAAAAAGGATATGCAAAAAATGCCTACCATTTTTGAACAGACACTGTGTTACATTCACCATTTTAATTAACAATGTTTATGACTACTCTATCTCACCTATGTCATACATTTTAAACCAACTGTTTTTATTATTACTAGGTACCGTACAAAGGCCAGCGAGTTCGTCTCGTTACCGGTTTTATAAAACCTGCGATATGTCGGCGATCAGGGACAGCGGGAGCCTACAGCGACTCTTCTTGTGCTTGGACAAATACCGAATTCATGAATTCGGAACCGGTGAGTATTATATATCAAAGTGCCCTCATTGATTCTTATAGAAAACACAACACGGCCATCATGGAGAATGTCATCGACAAATCGGAAGGCAATGAACATTGCTTTTAAAATAGAATATTATTAAAGAGTCACCTGGAAAACTTCAGATCTGTTTTACTGTCCTTAATTTTATATAGACATGTAAAATGATGTATGTATGAAATAAGCTCACCACCCGCCTCTTGAAAAGTATTAATCGTCACTTATATTAACAAACACAAACATGGTACAGTGGTACTCCTATTATTTTACCCTAAGAACTAAGTTGCCTACGCCCATAATTGCACTTTACACACCCTGCCCGGAACACATCTGTAAAACAGCAGAAATAGGGAACACAGGGGTACCAAATGGTACGTACTGATGGTACTTTATGTATCCAGTACCATATTATAAGGTAGGTACGTCTTATCCAATAATTGGATTTCTTGGTATTTAAGTGAGTTTATTCATTATTGCAATATAAATAAATTAACCTATAATATATAAATAAATTCGCAATATAAATAAAAAACAATATTATAACTTAACAACTTAACTACTGTGTTCTTCTTAAAAAGACCTTCTTCTTGATAATCTTGAAACAAATATTCAGTACATATAACACTATATACTACGATTTACAAGACATTACATTAATTAGAATAAATCATGAGATAGATATATTTCGTTTGCAGTGTATTATAAAATTACGTAAAGTAGAAAAACACTTTATGATTATTATAGTCTTTCAAAGTTGTGTGTCTAAGAGCGGTAAAATAAAATTGTACAAAGCCGGTAAGCACTTAATATATCAAGATAAGATAATTTCCATGAAACGGATACTATTTCTAAGTAGTCAAATATAAAATACACTTTAACGTCATAAATTAATACAAAAATCTGTAGAGCTAAGGCAATGTAGGTACGTATTCGGAGTCGTCTTCCACTGGTACCGCAGAGGATAACAAGATTAGAAAACCTAGTAAAACCACGAACTTAAATACTATGATTAAGATTGGAAAATGGAATAAGGAAAGTAAGTAGTTATATGCAATCAAGAATAAATCGCTCGAAACGAATGCATAGTTAGGTAGTTATATAAGATTGCAATTCTCAAAGGAAGAACTTTGAGCGAATAAGATTCAGAGTGCGACCAACCCTCATCGTTCCGTTTGTCTACAAATATTGGAAATGGAATGCTGAACTAGTTTTTTAATTCGTTGTAAGCTTCGACTAAGTGATACCAATTTTTGTCATCGTCACGTTTTCATTTACTATCGATTCCTCAATTTGGTTCAGAACTGCAATGCATTACCTTACCTTACATATGATTGCGGGTTTCATTCCTGCAGTATATAAACTATTCATATAATATTAGTGTAGATAAGGTTTTGTGTACATTTATATACATATATTAATTTGCTAAAATTGTATCAGATCTCAGAAACTAGGAAATGCTCTGCTTAGTTGGAACTTTTAGCAGCTAATCAGATATGTATTTTTTTAATTCTCAATTTGTATTTAAATTTATAGTTCCTTTATGTTACGTTCTTTTATGTACTTCATTCTGTTGTCAATAGCGCTCCTAATAAATTGACGTTTTGTCGTACTGGCTATTTTGATCTCAAACATCTCTTTGGTTAGGAGTTCCAAACTCAAATTTATATAGCTATTTACTCATGCATTTGTTTTTCGAAAACCGTAATCCATACGTTTTTTCTATTTTTGGTTTTTTCTTTGCGTCACTCAGTTTACACAACGGAAAACTTTAAATATCGCGTTATTTATGAGTACGAGTTCCGCCGTGGCACCGGTGCTGCAGGAATGGTTCGAAGGATTAATTATGTGTATGGCGGTGGTGTCGCAAAAGAAAACATAGTACGTTTTTTATTCCAATGTTTTCGTTCAGAAAATTTCAACCTGCAAAACGGCCGGATTCCAAGTTTGATAATATAGAATTGAAGGCTATTGTGGTAGCGGATCCATCGCAAATCACGTCCGAGTTAGCTGCAGGCTGCGGAGTAAGTGACAAAACTGTTTTAATCCACTTAAAGCAAATTGGGAAGCATGAATTGAATAGAGCAAATAGACAAAAGCGCGTAGACTGCTGCGTCACATTAGTCAACCGGATATATAATAATGAAGGAATTTTAAATCGAATCATTACCTATGATCAACGTAGGATCTAGTATGATAATCGGAAATACTCATCTCAATGGCTCTGGCAATCAATCCTGGCGAATCAGCCAAATCCTGCCCCAAGCAAAAATTGACTTAAAAAGTTACTTGTGATCATTTGGCGGACTAGTGCCGGTGTTGTTCACTTCAGCTTTCTTAAATCTGGCCAGATAAATTACGGCGGAAGTGATTTATTAGCAATTGCAAACCATGATGGAAAAGCTAGCTGCTAAACCGAGGGTGGTCAATCGCCGTAGCCCACTGCTGCTTCAGGACATCGCTAGACCATACACTGCACAACATACAGTTACCAAATTAGAAGAGCTTCAATTGGAAAATTCAAGAGATGCACCGTACTCCCTGGGCCGTGTGCTCCAACAGATTACAATTTTTTTCCAAATTTGGAGAACTTCTAGCAAGGGAAGAAATTCAACTCCGATGAGGCAGTCCAAAGTGCCTTCAAAGATTTTATTGATTCCCGTCCGAATGGTTTTTTTAGTAAAGGGATAAAGAGCTACCTATCAGATGGAAAAAATGCATAAATAGCAATATTTTAATTAAATAAATATATTATATTTTGAAAAAATCGACCTTCGACCCTTACAACACGCCAATTTCATATGATTTCATGACCATATGTCTGTGCTTACGGTGGGGATCAGAAGCAAGCAGCAATTAAGGCAAAGAATGACAAAAAGCAGTTACGAAGACATGCCTAACATATATGGTGGTGCGATGATCCACATAAAATGTGCTCAACAGAGGCTGAAACATGTGCATCGCAACTAGTTGCTTTTGAAGATAGAAGAATGGGACGTATATTGGCATTAAAGCGAAGATTATATAAATTTAAGTCTATCAGATAGTAATAATATAGAGTAGAGGAATATATAAATGCAGTTGTGGCGACTGTTCAAAACTTAGCTGATCCTGATGAAATTATTGAAAATTCTTCCGTTGCTATCTATACTACTAGGTAGTCTCACTCTTGGAATTTGTCTTATGGATAAGGTTTTTTATTATTAAAAGGGAATGATGGTATTTGGGTGATGAGTTAATGACTATCGTCTCCACCTTTGACAGTAAGAAAATGAAGAGTTGTGACTAAGTCTTGAGGATTTCTGGGAATTAATTGTGGGTAACCTGCACGTCCCCGTTTTGATCCTTCAGTAGGTATGGAACTGATAGAATGTGTAATAGACGTTATAGATTTTGTCTCTGTTTATGTCAGTGATTTTAATATTAGCAAAGCCTATAATAATAATAATGATCTTCCCTTACCGCCATATATTGAAAGGATAAAGGAAATAAGATGATTGTATAATTAAATTCTATAGTAGTAGTGCTCAGATAGTATGTTTTTTGCCATACTTGTACTTTTTTTTTTTAATATTTTCTTTTGATATTGATTTGTGATTTTTAAGTTATATGATAACTTACATTGTTATAGAACGATGTATATTTTTCACTTTATTAGAGAAAAATACATATAATAAAATGACAATAATTTAGATTACTATAAAAACAGCGATATGTCTGCTGATGTGCTTTAACAAAACTTTAACTAAAATAATCAGTCAGTCAGAATAAAATGTCAATTATGACATTTTATTCTGACTTTGTCTAAAAACATTTAAATACTACATAGTTTTGTAACTGATACCAAAACTTTCACCAAGCTATATCGGTATCTGTTATCGTCCATGACTTTACTTTGTCGCATCCAATAATATGAACGATGAGTTTTACTGTAGTCCGTCTCTTTTGTTATCCAGCAGTTTCTAGAACACATTAAATTGCCCTTCTAGAGTCGCTAGTTCACATTCATCCATGTTTCTATATCAAAAGACTGAGGAGATTATTATTTCCTATAAAGAAGAGCAATTGCAACATTGATTAAATAAATTAATTCTGAAGCACTATATCAAAAGAAGTGCTTGGGCGGTGGAACTTTCCCGGACGTTTCTTTTCATATAATTGTGAATTTAATTGTACGGTATCTATAAATTAAATCATATGATGGCCATAAATTAAATCACAATTTTAAGCCCATCAACCTACGGCAATTTCTCATTTATACATTTAATAAGGAATACTTAGAATATAATAAAGTCGTCATCTTTGATCTTTCTAGAATAATTTTTTTAGAAATAATTTTACTTTTCAATTGAACAAATAATCAACGAAATCAATTAATTAACGAAATATTTCTTAAGAACGATAAAGTAACTAGATTTTTTTTTACAAATTCACAAAGATCATTAACACAGGTCAGGATTCACAACCACTATCACGAACATTCAGTCCCTCAAAATATCGCCTGTTAATTCACTTCTCTGCTGATATCCGATTATTTCAATACATTATTGTATTACATTATAGTTCCGATTTTCGTAAGCTGATTGGTATCGTGGACGTCACATAATTGCAATCTATACATTTATGCAAGTAGGTGAAACTGAAACAGTCTGTTTCTACTAACAGCCTGTTTGCCATTCCAAGTAGAAAAAAATATAAATAAAGTACAATTTACACAATGATATTTTATATAATAGCGTATTCGTTAATGTATATGTTACAAATTTCATAAAAATCCGTTCAGTATTTTTTATGTGAAAAAGTAATAGACATCCTTACATCCAAAATTCGCCTTTATAATATTAAGTCCGATTGTACTATACACATAAATTAATCTTGCTGCTCTTTCAAAGTTCTAATTCAACTAACCTTACAAATTAGACTTAGCTAACGTACGAGTGTTAATCTCGGATATAACTATTAGGAACTTCATGTAAATCTGTGCAACAGGATTGTATGCATGAATAAATAAACTACTCCAAACATCCAAATATTCAAACTAAATCCAGTGCAACAACACCTTTGCATTTCCAACGTAAGCAGCTTATTGTTCTTCTACGTCTAAAATTGGTAGTAAATATTTAGTAACTCTTATTCCATACAAGGAACATAATTATAGAGTTAGTAAGTACACAAACGCACTTATCACTTAAACGATCTCTACCAGATACCTTTTGAGTAGAGGAATTAAGACTAAGCGCCACTTTTAAAAACGTTTAATTTATACTAAGCACATCCTGAATGTAAATAAAAAAATACTTGATTAGCAACAGTTAAAGACTAATTCCAATTTCAATTTTTAAGACCAGAGGTGTAGTATTCAGTAGTTATTTTTAAATAAAAATATAATAACTTTCAAAAATATTGAAACAGAATGTCGGAACATAAAATACAATAAAAATATTTAAAATAGCTATCAAAGGTTGCCTGTGGCAACAATCACTGACAAATAAAAACTATATTGTAATAAAAACAATAAATGATAGTGGGTTATAAAAACAATCGTACTCATATTAGAAACTGTATTTTCAATATACACGAATAACCTGGATAGGAGTTAGCCTTTCTCCTACCATATTATTATAAATACATTAGTGCCTATCTTTTAACTTTTTTTTTCAAACCAAATACATCAAACGGGTTTTAATAAAATATATTTTTGTACAATGTATTTGACATGAAAATTAACTATCTTTTATTACTATAATAATCTGGAGGGACAAAATCTATTCCATCCTAGGAAGAGTGTGATGTCGCAGGTGGCATCCGGTAGGTACTTGGTATATACGTATGTTTCATACGTTGCAGAATATAGAACCTGCACAACGTCTTTAGTGAGATGCTGTGCATGGTATATTGTTCTGACAAATTGTTTCTCAGAACAATATAGTCCATGCACAATATAACTACAGTAATCACATGTGGTTCGGCAAATTGTTCTCATGAGAACAATTTAGTTATTGTTCAGGCAAATCCCGAGAACATACCTATTCAATTTGGTATCTATTGGCAACGCTAGCCTACATAGGTATCAGTCTATGATTGATATTGTAACAACTTATTGATCTTACCTAACGCCTATATCTACAAGGTACCACAGCATTTTATCTACAATACGCTGCATACACTTTCCGCTTGTCGAAACAGAAACAATATTCATCAAATATGTTGAACGATTTAGGCTTATTTGCATATAGCATTTTCTTATTCTATCTACAAATTAATATACCTTCACGTCGATTACCTCACGTGAGATATTCAAAGACATAAGACTGGTTGAGTCTTTGAGTGCTTAGCCATATTTCTCTAAATTTATTCGAATTCAGATTGTTATTAGAAAGCCTATGATACCATCTCTCGAATTAATCGATAAAAACATGGACGATATTTTCGTTATTATAGAACTAGATTTGAACTTAGAACTTTTGGTATCGATTTCGGTGTAGCAATTTTATTTGTAGTAAAACAAGGATAATCTAATACTCTATCTCGAACTAAGCAGAGTTTGTAATATGAGGACAAAACGGCTATAGAAATAACATAGGAACCTTTTGATTATGATTATATATACACAACATTACAAACTTCAAAATGTTACTCTTCTGCGAAATATCGAACCCGCGATCATCTAAAGTAAAGGCGGTATTCGCATCGTTACTGTAGTTTTTATTGCACTATTTACTAATTAATAATAAGTTTGGACCAAATGAGTTGAAGTAAAAAAGATCTCCATATTTATGAATGCTGCCACGACTGTATAAGGCAAGGGAGGGTTCCTCTGCATTCGCAAGAGGCACTTCAATCATTGTGAGCGCGAACTCAGCATCACTTCAAGCTGGTTTTTTGCTAAGAATGAAAAATTACATGCAAAACTTAATTTAAATCAATTTGACAAACATTTCTGTTAAAATGGATACTCATTTTAAACTTTTGGAAAAAATATATTCAAATTTCTTAATTCACGAGAACAGAAACTAATAATACAATTGAAATAATAACTACTAACGTGTTTTGATATAATGAGAATATCATTGTTAGAAAATTGCATATTTCCCCACGTGTCCATACTCTGATGACATTTGGAATACACTTTCTACTAGGTGTGTCTGATACATTGTTGCAGAATAAATTTCCTTGGGGTGCCAACGTGGGATAAAATTATGATTGAACTCGGGAATAGTAAGGGCTAGTTTCTATGTCTATAGTGTACGCAAAATATTAATTCGCACTTCTATTTGCTGCGTTTTGTTTATTTTAATTTACAAATATGTAAATTGAAATTCTGCGTGCATTATTACAGTTTCTGCCCGCACGAGATAGACGTTACTGTAAAGAGCTTTTATTTCGTTACAGAATTATATGAAATAAAACTGAGCGGTAAACTATACAGTGTACATTTATCCTAATACCGATCGTCATGGAGATCTTTGGGGGAGGCCTATGTCCAGCAGTGGACGTCTTCCGGGCTGCGATGATGATGATGATTATCCTAAGACAATGTATCTATCCGAGGATATATTTTCTGCATTCATTATTTTTTTGACATAAAACGACTTTAAAAGTAAACCTTTAGATATAGATATCCTGGAACTTTATTTATCATTGATTTCTATTCTATCATACCTCGAAAAGGTATAGCATTATAATAATTACAAAGTGATTAATCTTCGAGTATATCAACCGTATCTATGGTTACTCGTAACCTTGGCAACAAAAATAATAATTTTAAAATACATGTAGTAATCTTCAGTAATAATCTCAAATTTCAATAATACTACACTTAGAGCACTTCGGAATATTGATTTTAAATAATTTCTCGTTTATCGAACCCTAATATAGACGGTAAATTATCTAAGGTGAGTATTTCAGATTTAGTGGTTTATTTACGAGGGCAAACCGATACCTATGAAGTAAAGGTCTACATAGAGCTAAACAATTTAATCTGATTTAAATTGATTGATTCTGAATATCGAATTTTTGTAAAGACTAGTTCTAATTTCAAATATCACCATAAATACTCTAAATAATTAAATAAATAAATGTAACCACTCCAATGGAATATGATGAATAAAATATCGGGAAATTTAATAACATAGGGGATTAATTATTTCATTTGATTAATAATTTTGTTGCAATTTTAAATCAATAAAGTTCAATGTATGCAACAAAAAGGATTTATATTTAAATGTAGAGATAATAATACTGCAAATTATATGTAGTTAAGGTTTACAAAAAAAATGTTTAATATCGTAGATATAAAGAAGTAGCGAAGCAGTACTTAAAATGGGCGAAGAGGAACCAGCAACATTAAACGGACAGTTCTATGAATTTGCGAAACTTTTCGATACCAAAAGAGATGGTCAAACTATTACACTGTACCGCTCAGATTATTGGATGAGACAAGCTAAGCTTTTGGATGATAGAAAAATAACGATGACTGATACTGGAATACTCTTCAATAAATTCTGGTACTTACCGGCAAACACAATAATTATAGATTACTTCCAAAATGAGGTACGAGAAGAAATATAAATGAAATATTTCTTCTAATGATTATTCTATTGAATACTTCACCCGCTGAGCTGAAATGATGACGGTATTGGAAGCTTGTATATTCAGACAAATGTCTCTTAAATTATAATTCTAGTGATGCTATCTACTATTGAATAAAACATAAATAATCCTGACCTATAAAGTGATTCCTTCAATATAGAAATTTTAATTATAATGTCTTATTCCTTCATCTTGATAACTTGATATTCCATACTAGTCTCTCCTAAGAATATAGTTATAGTTTTATTTTTAGATAGGTATTTAAATTATAGGTTTAGGCTTTTGAGATATTGGGAAGCGAAAAAGAACATGATATACATAGTTAAGCTTAATTCGAAGTCCAAATTGTTTTCATCACCCAATGGATCCCTTTTAGTATTATTAGATATTACACTAAGGCATGATCAAGATGAGCTTGCTAAATTTTAGATAGACTGCTAGGATTTGATGTAGTCATAATGAATATTGTTTCCCAAGAGATTAAATAGGTCAGATTATTCAATATTGTTTAAGTTTCATAATTATTTATTGCAATTTCAGTAAAACTGAAATCACATTTGATGAGTGGATGGAATTTTTAGCAGACCTTTGTGAACTTGTAGAAATTGATGTGGAGAAGACTCAAGAAATTTTAACGAATTGTGGCCTGCCCGGCCAAGTGTCGGTAGTAGTCCCACAGTATAGAGAGTATTTTCAGACGTACAAACCAAAAGAGAAAGGCTTATTTTAATATATTTCCGTCTTGTAACATAATCCTTGATACCTGACAGACTAAAATGAGCAGCATTCTAGCTGAAGTGATATGAAACGATGATAAAACTCTTTAAATACTATGTTCAATTAAAAAGTCAGTTATTTCGGTGGTCTTCACGGTTCGCGGTTTTGCACAGCGCTTTACTTCCGCTGTGTCCATTATCCAGAGATATTATATTATTAAGACTTCGATTTCAATTTTTTAATTACATATTCTTTATATGCAGATACACTGACGAAGTAATTGAAATAACTTTCATAATTCTCATACTTATGAAATTTTTGATTGAGATAGTAAAAACATATTAATGGAATATAAAATTTTATTACGTTAACATTTAAAATACATACTTGAACATTATTGCTTACGGAAGAAGGGATTATCAATTAAAATAGATTATTTAAAAATATATTTGCTTACCTAAAAGTAATACATTTTACAAATTATATTTTCTCTTACTGCATGTTAACATAGTGAAATTAATTTAATATTAATTTTGCGCTTCGATGATTCCGTTTATTAATTTCATCGCTTAATACATTTTCCGATATATCATTACTGGTAAATGCTTTACTCATTTTATGTATAATTAATTTTGTTGCTAACTGAACATTTATAATTTTACAAAATATTATAGTTATATAATAGTGCAGTTTTAATCACTTTGAAAAGCTTATATTAATAGGGAAATGAAATATATTTATTATAATTTTTTTTATTCTATCAGTTAAAACAGAATAGGATACCTCTTTATGGTGCGACTTTATCTAACCAAACATCTTAGAAAATGCTACAATAGAAATAGCTTAAAAAATTCTTTATTCATATAAACTCAGTACAAACAACTTAGCAATAGTCATATTTTTTATTCTACCATTCATTCGGAACGCAGATTTATCACAAGAAGAATGAGCAAGAAACTTATGTGATGCTCTTTTATAGATAAAGTCCAAATGAAACAGTTAAAGGTTTAATGTTTTAGAATTTCATATTCCTCTCATTTTTCGTTCTCTCAAATGGAATGTTCACATCATATATTTATATATAATTAGAAAAAATAACTAATGTAGTTTGAAAAAAAAGAGAAAATTATTCTAATGAGTTTAATTTTTCTAAATCCTATATATTTCGGAACTAAGATTTAAATAAATCGATAAAATATATTTACTATTTCATTATATAAAAATATTTACCGTCGACGTCATAATTCATTAATTGGAATTGCAGATAAGTAAGCTACAGTACAATTTAATTCATTTTTCCTGCATCCACAAGATTCTCCGCTTGCAAAAAATATATTTCCTGGAACTGCGTCGCTCTGTCCGGTATCAGTTTTCCGCATTCCTATTTTCAACTCCATTCTTCTGGTGGTATGTTTCTTTCCTGCCATGTTTGAATTTGCAGGCATACTCTTATTTAGGCATACATTCATTTCTCAGAATCTAGAGCATTCGAATGGTACCTAACGTCATACCACTAAAACTACTTTTAGAAACTAACGGCCTTTAAAAATAAAGTTATTTGTTTTTATTTAGCTTAGTTCACAATTAATTATGAAAATTATAATACGCCATTATTATATCCAAGCTGTCTATAATATATGGCAGGAACTGACCCTCGTGGTAAGGGTTTACCTATTGCGAAAGCTAGGGCTATGTATTGCTAGCTATATGTATTTGTGAATAAAGATTATTATTAATAATAGTAACCCTGGACAATTCACGCAGCGCCATCTAATATTAAGCTAAGAAGACCGTGTTTTATTTAGTATTTTTTAACTGATATTTTTAACTTTTGTACTAATGTTTGTAATACATACATAAGATACGTAAATAGAATCAACCAGACGAAGACAAACAATAATACTCAAGAATGCAAATGTTTGAATGGTACGAAGAATCAAACCCGTAGTAATAGTAACACGCTGTGCTAAACCGCTAGACCAATGAAGCTGTAAGTTGTGTTTGTGTGTAAAAAGGCTACTACTACTTAGCTACGAAACCTCTGACATATATCTACGTAGTACGCAACAGGTGGTCTCTCAGTTTCGCAGTCGCACTGAAGGATAGAGCGGGCTTAAGAATAAACAGAATTAACTCAAAACAGCAACATTTAGAAAATTCGACCTTATCGCTATATATTTAGAGGCGAGTTTCAAAAAAAAGCTTTTGTTCGTTACGCAAATTATTACGATTGCGTGTTCCCGTCACAACATTGGAGTACGCTATGTTATTGCCTAGTATAGAAGCAAAACAAACCCAAATAGAACGTAAAAATTTAAGTAATTTTTAGTCACTTTCCGTGTTATAGGCAAGACACTTAACGCTTATTCTTTTTGAATAGTTAACGTAACGTAATTTATATCCTAGTATATATAATTAATATAAATGCTATTTTGTAAATTAGAAAATTGCATTATTACGAAATAAAGAACCAATAGCTATGTAAAACATAGTCATTAAAAGGAAAGGAATTATAAGTCATATATTAAAGACAGAATAAAAATATCAAATCATTCGCTACATAGGAACATCGTAAATCGAATTAACCTCTGCTGCGCTTCAGTCGCCAATAACATTAAAATTCCGATTTAAAATTTCACTAGTAAATATTTTAAAGAACCTTTGTATTAATATCAGCCTGTTCCTGAAAGGACTAGTTATTATACATATATATGAAAGACTAGATATCTATGACACATAAAACTTTATTAATGCACTACGATAATTATAAAAAGAGTATAATTCCGTATAAGGTATAAAAATGTAAGTGGTCACTCCCTGTAAATGATATGTATATGATACTATATATAGTAATGACTGTATATGAGAAAAGCTATTATTATAGTTTATGTTTATTTATAATAGACACCAAAACAATGATTGTTATGCATGTATGCAACTGTACTGTTATGCAACCTGTAGGTGACTCCTAAGTCCTTAGATTTTAGGAGTATGATATTTCAGACCCTAACTCTTAGGCTACAGTTATTTCGTGATTTCTAAACAAATCTTGCACGTTAATAATTATTTCACGAAGTGTAGAGTTCTATGTAAGAATATTTAGAGAGTTTGGAAGCGATTGAAACGGTAGATATGCTATTTATCGACAAATTGTTTAGATGATCATGTATCTACCTCTATCTATCTTTCTCATCAATACTATAATTTTGACTTTCCTTTTCTCTTAATTAATTTACAAATATTGAATAATAATCTTAAAATACCACATAAAGATCGACGCAAATGAAAATGAAAATAATTTAAAAAGAGCTTTTGTGAATTCAACTGTAAGTGTCAGTTTGACAGCAGCGCCCAAAGCATTGCGTTCATATAGCCAAAACATATATTGTAGTAATTTTCTGCTTCTGACAGTAGGAAATGATATTAAAATTATTTACATTATGCAATATAGTAAAATAATGCAGAAGTCTTTCAAAATAACTATACATTTTAGGATAATTGTATTATAATCGCAACAAAAGTAAACAATTGATAAATTAATCGATATTGAGTGTCACTAATAAAAAAACCCCGTCATTTACTTAAGGAACTCCTAAATAGGGAGCACCTAAGGTGGTGACACGGTACTTAAGTGTCCGATTTAGGTATTTTCTAATGGATACTTACTTAATTAATACCTTAGGGCTTGGTTTATGAAAACGGGCATTAGAATCTTTATGTCTTTGTTCATGCGTTTGTGCGCACTAATATCAGAAACATATTTCGATACGTCTATTTCATTTACCAAATAGTATTAATTATGCGGGTTCAAAGTCACAGGCCCAAGCTTAATATACCTGCATAATTGATATTGGAAGCTGTATAAGTAACGATAAATGCGGTACATGTGCGTACTAGTTACTAGGCCAATAGTACTCGTTACTAGCATATCGTTACTGTAGTAGGTACTTTTCATACAATTGAAAGTTCAACATTTTTATAATTATTCTCGTTTTCAAACCGTTAATGTTCTTATTTTTTCTAGGCCCTAAATATCTACATCTTGTTTTATTTAAACCGTAACTGTATGATCATTTCCTTCACAATATTTTTTTGAGATACATACATAAGACGCTAAACAATATTCTATTCCAACATATAATTTTTTTTCTTTGACTATTGATCTATCACAAAAATTCCGAAATAACGACACTAGTTTTTTGCAAAATAAACTATAAGTAACTATAATAAAAATAACTCGACTAGTTATTTTGCACAGCACTATTGTTATCTTATTCGCAACTGTCACCGTCAACTGAACGCAACTATTGACATATCTACATTTCAGGCATATGTATTTGAATACAACGTGACAGGTAGTGAGCCCATCGTCGTATCTCGGATTACTTTGATTTGACAAAACCAATACCCGTCGCATTGGTTAGTTAGAATCAGTTAGAATTTACAATTATATATTGACAGACAAAGTATGTGATGTTGGCCAGAATTAAAGTAATCTAGTATCCTAAGTCTAAGTAGAGACTTTTTTTTATATGTTTATATGCTTAAAGCATCAAAGAAAAGACTTGCCGATTTGAACAATTTTTAAAGAATATATTCTGTTAAAAAAATAAAAGTAAAATTTTATGTTTGTATAATTTCAATAAATTTATAGACCAAACGGATATTGACAATTATTATTTCGAATACCACGAGCATGAGCACGCAGGTTCACCTTGTAATCCACAAAATTATTCACATTTATTAAATATACACAAAATTACAAATTATTAACAAAATTTATTTTAAATTATATGTTAGGGTAACAGAGCTATGCTGGTGATGACATGGTAGGCACTCGAATCCTGTGGGATTAACATTTGAGATATGAATTGCAGCACCAGTTGTGTGCCAGGGGAGATAGTTGTAGCACGATTAAGTATGCTTAATTCTATCATAGGGAAAACGAAATAACTAGATTTTCACATCCGTTGGCGCATCAATAAAAGTGAACGGTAGCGCTATGTTAATCCAATATTAATATGTAGAATTTACATTATTGACAGGCAAAATGCAGGTAGCATTTTATACTGAATATTAATTAAAATATTGTGCATATGCCTTCATTTGCATACTGCAAACGGGAAGTAAAACAATTATCAGGAATCCATTCAATTCTAAATATAGACTCGCGCTGGGGGAAAATTGAAAATGAATTTATAAGATATATGTATTTTATATACATCCAATGCAGTACGACTGTAGATACGCCATCAATTATCTTATTGTGTATTCTAGTAGATAATTAAGCTCTTACTAGGATTGATATTTAGATATACTTGAAGCAGGACTTAAAACATTTATGGAATCCTTACTTCGATTTCAATATTATAAATGTGAAGATACGTCGGTCTATTTGGTTGTCTTTTCATGACATAACTCGTGAATGAATCATAATGAAATTTAATATGAAGATTACGAATTATCGTCCATTCGTCATGTGTCATTAGTGCGTATTGGATTCTTTTGCATTGGTTTGCAATTAACAACCTTATTTTTACAATAAATAATAAATTACACATTTCATTTTAGAACCTTGCAAGAAGACTGTACTTGGGTTTACATAAGACGTATGACATAAAATACGTCACTACTGTCCGATATAATATAGTCACTACTCCACAAAGTTTCTGTTTTAAAAATACTTTAGAAAATGTCAAGAGGTCTTTTAAGGGAATGAATATAACATTTTTCAATAGGATATCAAGAGATATTCTCTTTAATTATATTTAAATAACTTCTATTAACTCATATTTATTAATTAAATAATAAACGGATGACATTCAAAGCAGTTGTTCACTCAGGGGAGTTTCATTTAATGTTAAACACACTTAATATTTTAAAATCTACGTCTAATTACTCCAACAAAGAATCTCATAATGAAATGAGACATTTATTAGGAATGAATAATGTTTTCTTTGCAGACGAAATCTATTGCAATGCCACTTACGACGGTTTTTTATGCTGGCCGCCAACGACAGCAGGGATGACTACCAGCCAGAACTGTCCACGAGCTCGATTTAGCGATCCTACCCGTAAAGTATTATATGTTGTTTGGAATAAATAAGTGTCGCAAACTCGTATGCCATAAAGGCAAAGTTATTCTAATCCAGTCTCCTCTATAAAGATTATCCTTCTTTTATTATGTCGAATATGTACCTATTCGATTCAACGAATGCAGGTATTGCAATCGTTTTGTTGAAAGAAGAAAATATAATAGCAAAGAGAAATGTTTACATTGTTACATATTAAATGTGTGTCTATATTTGCATTTTGTGCAGCTGAAATGTATACTAATGCTTTCTTTGTTCGCGTTCTCGTCCACAAAGTATTAGAACATGTGTTCTGGATATTAACAGCACCTTGTATAATATGGTTACAAATGGAAAGGGTCCAGCTTACATATCGCAATAAATACATTGTGTGGAGGATTATGTGTCGTTTTAAAATGCAAGATACCTTGGATTCTGGTTTAAAGATATCCTTTGTTCCTTAAAGACTCTGGACTATGCAAAAAGATGAAAGTTTCTATTTCATCGTTTGAAAAAGTATCGTTTGTGTATTTATTTCCCTTTGTTATGATTATGTAGGCTATATAATATTTAAATGTTGAGGTTTGAAATAGGCAATAATTTTTCATGGAAGTTAACCTGATCTATATAAATCAACTTGTTGTAATGATATAATACTATTTTTAACCGAATCATGATTATTGATCTGATTTGCCTCTGAGTCGAATAGCAGAATATCAATTAAAACTATGGAATAATTAAAATTATGACATAATATTAAAATTCATGGTAACATATAATTTTCTCACATTTTGTATAGAATGGTTTCTTTGATGTTGTTTTATTTTTTAGTCGTCTTACCATTAAAAGGTTTGCTTGCGCACTGGAAAATTAAGGAAATCAAATAATTCCTGAAGAGCACCTTGGTTAATGTTTGATATTTTTATTCGTTTGCATTTCCCGTTGTCTAATACTGCAGCAATAGAATAATTAATAAAATATTTACTAAACATTAACATCGTGGTACTACAATAATATACTGGACTGAATAACTGCACTTAATTAATTATGTGCTTTTCTGTTTTCACACATTTAGAAGCTTTTTAAAGCTTTATTAGTGCATTTACATTCTAATATTTAGTTAGGTAACATGTCACCGGATGACTTAACCCTACGTCATAATTGCATATTTGCATTTCTGCTTTTCAAAGCTTTGCCCGCCCATATGCTTGTTTGCGTAGAAAAGCTAATAGTTTACTTTGTGGTTAAGATAAGCAGCTAAACTTCAAATACGGTTTACTTATATAATATCCTTGAAAGTCATTTTATAACATATCACTGTAACTTTACATATATTAAAAATAATAATTGACTAATAGGATTTAAAATGAAAAAAATCTCTCCTGTACATTTTGATTATTAGCGAGTCACATAGACTGATCCAGATACGTGTAGATTACGCCAGATATCTTGAATTTCTCCTGTATAATATTAAAATATTTTGACACACATAGGTATGGCAAAACGTACTTGTGGCATGGATGGGATATGGAAGAGCCGGCGAGCTAACGAAACCTCTAAAGCAGGTTGGACCAATTTTATGGCCTGTTTTCCTACTGAGATGCGAAATTTGCTGACGAAGGTTTATGACAACGATACTCAAGTGAGTGGTTGAAGTGGACACACATAAATTTACGAGGATAAAATTGTACGATCCGGAACAACAACTTAGCAGGACACGTGGAGAAAAACAGTTTCTAATGACAACATTCTATTAATTTTACTACATTATAATTTCAATTATTGGATTCTAAAATGTAGGATATAGCATTATGAATAAATACATATTGAAAAGTGTAACGAAATAAACCCCAAATTGCGCGTGCGCATTTCTAATGTGCAATAATAAAATTAAGCAATTACAGGTATAGTAGAAGCGACAAATTCATATTACGGCCAGGACGAATAATCCGATACACAAACCCCTCTTAAGTTCACTATAATCATCCACTTATAATCACACACTTACTCATTCTTAATCTCGTAACTCGTAGAACATAAGAAATACACTAATATTTTAAAGAGTACATTTATGTGTATATTATATATATATATGATATATGTGATGATTAATCTCCGGAACTACACTATACCCATTTCGAAAATATCTTTCACTATTTACATACATTATTTTAGATGTATATACATACATATATATTATTCTGTAAATTATTTAAACGAGGTGAAGACAAGACTGTTGTCTGAGGTGTTTAGTGTGCTTAATTACATATAAAATTGTAAAACCTGATGTTATATTTCGAAAATAATCTATTTGTTGCAGGAAAAGTTCGACATTGCTATCCATACAAGGACGTTAGAAATTATTGGATTTAGTATTTCTCTTGTGGCTTTGGTAATTTCGTTATTCATCTTCTCAAACTACAGGTGAGTCATTACTATTAATATGTATGTGTTATTTTAGCCCGTTTAATAAAAAACGAACGAGACTTACGTAGTGTGTAACATGTAACATCTGAGTATAAATGGGTTGGTACTACTGTAATATTATGTTATCTGTGGATTAATTTAACCATTACCAAACGATTAATTTAACCATATTCCCTACTACTTATAAAATATTTTTATCTATTTTCTCAAAAACCGCGCCGTCAGTCTCATACAACATACTGGAGTAATTCATGACTCATTCTTACGTCAACCTTTGTGAAATGAACGCCCGGATCTATTACTGGTTACGTCTTTTAATGGTTAAGCATGTACCTGTTATTAAGAATAAGGCAACAGGGTAGGTTGGTGCATAGGAAATTGACGGGAAACAGAACGAAAACTGTAGCCGTGGCGTTTCTTGTTAATTCTTCTCAGGTTAAATACGAGTAGCTATCAGAACTGGACGGTAAAATAAAATGGCAAAAATTGTTATAAATCATAAAAATGTACCGTCATAATTTTTCTGAGATGTCGTGACTAAAATCTGTAATATCTACGTCCGATTATCAAAATCATTCCCACAGATTGCAGGAAAATGCGATTGTAAAGCAATCATCCACTCATCATCATTCCCACGATGCTCGAAGAGGGGGACAGGGTCTAAAGCATTAAAATATCCTATAGGAGGCCTTGAGAGGGGTGCCGACTTGCCGAGAGACATCACGTGTATTCTTAACACCTTTACGTTCTTAACATTGTAAACGTATATATGTTGGCATACCAGACCCAACTGCAACCTTAATGTCTGTCTGATATTTTTATCACTATGTGATTTTCTAAATTTACAAAAGTTTTCTATAAGTATTGTACTTAGTACAAAAACTGTGAACAAACATTTTGAAACACTTTTACCTTCCAGATCCCTGCGTAATAGCCGTACACGTATCCATAAGAGCCTGTTCTATGCTATGGTCTTACAAGTCGTAATTAGACTTACGATATACATAGACCAGGCTCTTATCCGATATAAAATACAAGATAATCCCGCTTATGAAAACGTAACCGTACACGGAATAGATAACATGGTAAGAATTTGTATGTATACAGTTTTGCTGCCTGATACATTGCTGACTCTATAGAAATGCTAGAGCGAACAAACCAGTTTATGGTCAGTACCTTGGCGACTAAATTACGATTGGAGTTTTTGGTTTTTAAAATTCTTTTGATTTTTTTCTAAAATTTGTTATATTGGTAAGCAAAACGCTTTTTGTAACACAATAGAGTAGATATATTTTTTAGAGTACTAGTATGCTAATAGGGACCATCCATCAATTACGTTACACGGATTTCAATTTATCTCTCCCCATATTTGTCTCTTTTGAGAGGCTTACTGGACCGGAAAGCCGTAACATTATAGTTTCAGTTCTACTGTTTTTTCGAAATTAACATTTTAATAAGCTGTTTACAAGCTGTTTTCAAGAGTCATCACGAATCGACTTGCACGAAGGGTTGATGAGTTTCAACCCCCGGAACAGGCCGGGTTTCGAAGTGGTTATAGCACCATAGATCACATTCACACAGTTAGGCAGATTATACAGAAAACCGAAGAGTATAATCAACCTCTGTGTCTAGCCTTTGTTGACACTATGAGAAGGCCTTTGACTCTATCGAGACCTGGTCTATTCTGGAATCTCTGCAGCGATGCCAAGTCGACTGGCGATACATTGAAGTGCTGAGACACTATTACGCTGCAACAATGACCGTCCAAGTACAAAACCAGTAGACTAAGCATATCCACCTGAAACATGGAGTAAGACAGGGGGATGTTATATCCCCTAAGTTGTTTATAACTGCGCTGGAGGATATGTTTAGAATGCTGTACTGGAAAATTTACGGCATTAATGTTAACGGCGAGAACATCTCTCACTTACGATTTGCTAACGACATTGTCATCATGGTTGAATCGCTGCAGGACTTACAGCAGATGCTGAACGGCCTGGCTGAGTCGTCTCAACGTATCGGTCTTCAGATGAATTTGGACAAAACCAAGATCATATTCAATGATCGCATTCGTCCGGAACCGGTTGCCATTAATGGAGTTCCTCTCGAAGTTGTTCAGGAGTATATTTATCTAGCGCAAACGCTCCAACTAGGTAAAAACAACTTTGAGAGGGAGGCCAAGAGGCGAATATAGCTAGGCTGGGCGGCTTTTGGGAAACTTCGTCAAGTCTTCTCGTCGTCGCTACCACAAAGCCTTAAGACCAAGGTTTATAACCAGTGCGTCCTACCCGTTATGACATACGGTGCCGAAACGTGGACACTGATGATACGACTGGTCCACCAACTCAAAGTCGCTCAACGAGCTATTGAAAGTAACATCTTAGACCACATCATCACTTAACATCAGGTGAGATTGCGGTCAAACGCGCTCAAATTATGATATAAAAAAAAAAAGTGCCTTGCTTGGAGTTTTTCTGAGGGATCAAATCCGTAACGAAGTAATTCGCCAGAGAACTAGGATCACCGACATAGTTCTTCGTATTTGCAAGTTGAAGTGGCAGTGGGCTGGTCATATCTGTCGCAGAACCGATGCTCGCTGGAGTAGGCGTGTTCTAGAGTGGAGACCGCGAATTGGCAAACGTAGTGTAGGACGCCCCGCAGCTAGGTGGAGCGACGACATACGTAGGGTTGCGGGTAAAAACTGGAAGAGAAGGGCTGAAGATCGTGCCCAGTGGCGTGCCTTGGGAAAGGCCTATGTCCAGCAGTGGACTGCAGTGAGCTGATGATGATGATGGTGAACATTTTAATATGTCTTAATATTAAAATGTTAATTTCGATAATTGGATTGTAACATCTTGAAAAATGCCACACTTTATTGATCCCCCTCAACGTGTAACGAAAATTGTAAATGGCCTTATATAATTTAAATACTATATTTAAATCTTATGAAGATGGTGTTATAAAATAAATGTAATTTCTGTGCGTTCTGTAGATGACCACAAATTTAGATGAATAGCAAACCTCTTCTAGTCGCTGTTTCCAAAATGCATGCGATTAATTTTACACCTTCATATGTACGTTAACTTGTTCGTTTAAGGCGATATTATTTTTAGGCCATTATATTTATTTCATATTTAATTTTATAATTATAAATATAATGAATTTATAAATAGTACTAGGAAATAATTTTATTTAAATAACAAGGTAACGGTATTAAACAACAAACCTCTAGAGAAAGTCACAAGTAATCTTGAAATAAACAGAAAGTTATTTCCGCTCGGCAATTGCACAGGGTTCGGTGGAGTTGGAAATCTTCCGAGTAACTTGTATACAAGTACTCTTAAACGTAGCCGAGCTAATATACCGCGGAACTTACAGATCTGCTGAGCGAAATCAATGACAAATAATTCTTGATTTATTGATTCTGTCATTATACCGTACAGAAAGATTCAAAATGCAGAGGAGTTTCGATTAAGGCACTTGTCACACGACTCGGCTGCGTGGAAGATGTCTGAGCGCGTTTTTTAATAATTAACATGCGAAACAAATTTTAAGCCCTAGAAAATACCTTGACTCTTTTTGCACCTTAATTAATTTTTGATTATTATTGCTGTTCGTCGTTATCATAGTCTTTATTCGGTTAGTGCTTATTGTTTTTGAGTGGTTGACTCTTGTTACTATTTTGTCTTATTTTTAATATTAATATAATTTTTCATGGAGAACAGGATTATTAATGTTTACCGCAGTAGAAAGTTCATCAATTAAAAGTATTGAATGAACTTCATTTAATCATGATTAATTAATTAATGACTTATTTTTTTATAGGAATGGGAAACAAGTTTACAAGTTGCAGCCTTCCAGATATTTGGCGTCATATGAAAACCGCTTTGTTATTTATAAGATTACACAGAGCGAATTGAAATTATTCACCTTTTTTCCAGCCGTATCTTTGCGAGTCGTCGTATATCTTACTAGAATACGCCATAACAGTAATGTTTATGTGGATGTTTATCGAAGGAATATACCTCCATAGTATGGTGGCCGGTAACTCGCTTAGAGAAAGAATCTCGCATGTGGTATACTACGCTACCGGCTGGGGACTACCTATAATTATAACTGCGGCTTGGGCAACTGTCACCTCAATACATTACAAGAGTCAAAGTGCAGAACAGTAAGTATTCGATTATGATTACATGACACATCAGTGAGGTCTAGAAATGGTGGAACAATGTCACGCTGCGCGCCACACTGCTGTCTCCGATTTACTTTTAACGGCGTTTTAAATATGTACGCGAAAGTATCTAATTAGAAAGTTATATGGATGCTTTTCTACTACTCATAATATATCTTTGTTTCATATACTCGTACAGTTAGACGGTAACAAGTAATCGTCGACCTACTGCTGGGTAGCTGGCTATTAGTATTACTATAATAACAGGAATTAGTCTGATATTTCCACGCTGGCGACATTTTATTTTGTATATTTGTGCTTTCCTATCCCATTAGACATCGTAGAGATAAAAAGAAATGTTCTTGTACTTATACGTATAAAGTACAAACATTTCTTTTTAGTAATAAATATGTGAAATACAAATTAATATATATTATTGAAAATGTTGTAGTTGCTGGTATGGATATAACTTCTCGCCCTACTATTGGATTGTCGAAAGCCCAAGGCTTGCCGTCATAGTGGTAAGTATTATTTGATTATATTTTATGAGTATAATATTATCTATTTTGACTGTAGTATTTAATATCTACTATTATTACTACTAGTAGGTATTTCATTATATTATTGTTGTTCAAATCCACGCATGTATATATGATTTTTTGTCATTATAAAATTAAACAAGACATCTTATAAAGTAAAATTCTAGCTTTAGAAATTGATGAGCACTATCTCTCAGTACCTCTTGACTGATGATACTTGCAAACTCCCTCTGGCGTGCTTACTCCTTACTTTATCCAATATCGGTACCACACAACTTCACAGCGTTTTCATTTCCGCCCCATACACGTGTTTTAAAATATTTACTAAACTTTATAAAGGCTGCATCCTGCAACCTCAATGACATCTCCATCAACTAAACATTCAATTGAGTAGATGACATATAATCTATAATATTTTCCCAATTTTAATTTCCGGAGCTATTTTACAGATTACATTCTAGTTTACCAGCTGTATCCTGTATCTTTAAGTACATTAAAAAATATTCTGTGTGTTTAAGAAATGATCTATGTAAATATTTATATAAGTAAAATAAGTTCATAAACTTCTAGCAAAAATTATCAAAATATCTTTATTTTCTGCAATATCAATGAACAAGTTTATGATTTTACTTCAAATTATATTTTTATATGTCATAGTAATATGGCATTCAAAATTAAAATGATTATAATATTTTCTCTCTCACAGCTAAAATAGAATACTTATGTAGGTGTAACACAGTGTCACAATGCTACTGCTAAAAGTTTACTAGTTTAAAATAGTTTGCGATATTGTGAGCCCCATCGTAATGGAAATGAATGCGTGTTTCTATTTTCTTTGCTAACTCAGAACTCGAAAAATTGAGAGTTTTAAATTTCAGAACAACCCTACTAGTTCAAGTGGAATATTATACATGAAAGAGTTCATTTAAACTTTTCAGAACTAACATTTTTATGCTGCAATTAATTCTGAACTTTTACGTGACGAACAACTTTTATGTATAAAAATGATTGATCGAAATAATTGGAAATTACTGCATTTCTCTATGTCCAGTGTAGAGTGTTGTAAAGCTGTGTGTGCTGTGCTAGTGGTAACTCCTACACCTACATACTCGTAGCCTGCACCTGACAGCATACGTTTCAAGCGTCATACGCACTTGTTGTATGTGTATAATATAACGTAATTGTTAAAGTTAAAATTCGTGTAGAGTTCGTACCGGATTGTATCTTCATATTATAAGTTGAAACTACATTTTCATCTGCGGAATGTAACTACATGTCCATCATACAAGTCATTATAATGACCTAGTTAAGACACTAGTGACATTATGTAATGTTGAGACCATTGTAAAGAACATATCAATAAACTCATATATTTATATTTATTAGTATAGTTCCTTTTTTATTTAGATTCCTTATGGGAGCGAGCGCTAGAATTTCAAAGAATTTTCTGAATAATTTAGTTTCTTTATATGTTTGATGTTACCTGCCTTAAGTCTTATTATTATAAAATCTGGGAGCGATTAAATTTAAAAGCATTTTCTTTTCAGATTAATTTCTTATTCCTCTTAAATATAATAAGAGTCCTGGTCGTAAAGCTGAGCAAAAACGACACAACAGAAATTGTAATAGTTAGGTAAGTATATTGTAATATTTCAGCAAAACTGTGTAATACAAGGTATAAACATATTTCTTTCATTAATGACTAATTAATTTACAATCTCGACACATGGACAAAAAAAACGTCAGGTATGGTATGAAATGGTAGCTATATATATATCTGGAAGATGTAAGTTTGCCAAAACATTAAGTGGCACGAGAAGAATTGATACTACAATAAATAAATAAATAAATTTATGTTTCAATAATTGTAACATTTTGTTCCTGTCAAAACAGAAAAGCAGTTCGCGCTGCACTGGTCCTATTACCTCTTCTCGGGATTACGAACGTCCTGAATATGATCGAAGCTCCTATAGACAGTGAAGTTTGGAAGTTTGCAGTATGGATCTACACCACACACTTCTTGAGATCTTTCCAGGGTTTCTTCATTTCTCTTATCTACTGCTTCCTAAATGGAGAGGTAAGTATATAAATATTAATTAATTTAATATCTCAATTAAGTACTTTATCCTAAATTATACTTAGGCAATTTCAAGTCTAAAAGTAAATAGTAAGATAAAAATATAATTGCTTTATACCTGAATACAAGTTATTATTCCTATAACTTTATACGATTCATAATCGCGATTTCGGCTGTTTGATGCAAACTTATGCAGTTCTCATGAAATCGTTATTAAAATGGAAACTCCTTTCACATTTTTTATAAATCAATATCTTAGTGATTAATAATATTGCACAGTAAAAGCAGTAGTGTCTACTGTCGATACCATTAAAAACTCGAATTCAACTCAGTAGCCGCTTCTCGGATTTAAATTGGCTAATCATTTAGAATTAGATTTTATCTCTAAATCGAGGTAGCGAATCTCTTAAGCAACGACGCCTTCACAATCTTCACATTCATCACCAATTTCTTAGTGAAACAAGTTGATGCTTCCTTTTAAATACCAATGAAGAACATGGCTGCATTCAAAGTTCTCACTGGTTCCTGATTGATGATCTTGGTCGCCTTTTGTCCGCCACCCCCTATTATCCCAAGGCAGACCCCTCAACATCCTCGAGCGCCGTACGTAACGAGTGCTCAACAACATAGGTCCCGACAATCCACTCACATTTTACCAATAAAAAAGTCATTGAATATGTAAATAAAACTTTCTTTACAGACTGCATTCACTGTGAAATATAGCAATTCATGTCTGTGAAACTTTCAAGGATTATATTTATAAATAGCGTTTCTCAATAAAAGTTACCTTCGTGGCTGTAATCAATGACAGACGAGTACCACTCGCTTCGTCTATATAGTGAATTGTCGACGACGTATTTCGATTTCGAGAGCGAATCTTCATGCCGTTGTTGTTATCAGCATTTCCATCACCGCAGAATCAGTTTGAAATAATTTTATATATCTATACATGGTATTTCTTAAGTATATTCAAGTCATATCAATAAAGTATGTGTTTTGAAGCGGCTTGAAATATGTTAATAATTAAAGTATCAATTAATCCAAAACAATCTAACCTTTTAAAAATCATTGATTATGCAATTATACCTTTTAAACTAATTAGCTAGGAATATACCGCGGAATTTATAAGCTGAGTATTCTCACAGGTTCGTATGGTAATCGTAAAGCAATATAACAATCGCAAGACGATAGCTGAGAATGAAAGACGCCGGCGCAATCGTTTCCTACAAGACATGTCCCCGCAACAACAACAAAGGGGCAGGTGAGTGATTTTTACCAGATAAATGTAATATCCACGAAAAATTTAAATTTTGATTTTATATGATTTCGATGTATAAAATGCATCAGTGCATCAGGTAAATTTATGTTTGAAAATTATTACATAAGAATTATACACTTACTAGCATATATTCGCAACTGTAATGTTAACTGATTCATAGATATTCGCAAAACTGTCAATTTTTGTTACAAATTTTAGCAACTGTATTACAAGTCTACAAATATAGTACGATTAAAACAGATATTTCTATTTGTCCGTTGTTTAAATTACACAACGATTTTGATACAGTTTACACTATCATTTAGATAAAGGGTTTATATTTATGACATAACCATACAGTTATGCATTAGTCACAAACTGAACAACCGTTCAAGCAAAGATCGGTAGTCCGGTAAAATCTGTTACAAGATTTGACTAGTTAACACAGCAATTTAGGTAAAAACTTATATCGAAATAATAATCGGATTGTTGCAGAAGAAGGCAACGAGAACAGTTACCGTCAACTTTTATACCAATGACCACTCTAAGGCGTCACCGTCCCCATTCAGCTTCGGGTGCCGACAGGTGTCACATTGATACAGAACTGGGATCCAGCTATCTGTAAGTCAGCTACAGCCTACACTATATCATTTAAATCAAAGCCCTCTGTGGCCTTAGGGTGAGATTCCTAGCACGATGCTGACATTTATTGTCAACAGTATGATTGTTTGTATCGATCTGGATGTTTTCTATGTATTTAGAAAAAATGTATCTAAGAATTACATCAATTGTCTAGTACCCATAATACAAGCTCTACTTAGCTTGGGAATTGTCCAGGGTAAAAAAGATAATAATCGGATTGTTGCAGGAGGACGCACAGAGAACATTTAAATACGCCAACTCTAAGGTGTCACCGTCCCCATTCAGCTTTGGGTACCGACAGATGTTACTTTGATACAGATCTGAGGTCCAGCCATATGTAAGTCAACTACAGCCTACTATTTATACTATTTAAATCAACGGCCTCTGTGATCCTAGCACGGTGTAGACATTTATAGTCATGAGTATGATTATTTATATCGATTTGGATGTTTTCTATGTATTTAGAAAAAAATGTATCTAAGTATTACATCAATTGTCTAGTACCCATAACACAAGCTCTACTTAGCTTGGGACTAGATGGTGCTGTATTAAATGTCCAGGGTAAAAAAGAAAATGTAAATTAATATTATGAATAGGAAGGACTTGACATTTTATTTGAATTAAATGAACGGGATGTTTCTAATGTATATATGTACCTTGTATAGCTGAATTATGAATTCATATGGTTGTCCATATTTTATATGAAAACTAAAGATCTCAAAAATAATTATTTGGCAGAGTGCATCACGACTTCGTGACTACAATTCCCGATAGCGTATTCAGTAGCATTCTTAATATTCGATTTTTTTTTTCAATATTAAGTTTCTCTATCCGAATATTTTGATTTGTTCTGGAAATTTCCATCTCGAGTGCTCATTTTCTTACAGTAAACCACTAAGCCTAGAGGCTTTCAAATTCCCTGCAGTATATTACCTATGCTAACATTTCAGGTTTACTAGTTGAGAGAGACGTCAAAAGCTTCCACAACGGTATGCATGCGTGAGACAAGTTGTGAATACCGAGAAAACAAGATACATTTGGTTTTCGACTCTCTAAATACTGATCCAGAATCCCTGTAAAATCACTGAATTTCTAAACGTTTCTAACATAGAACTTCATATATTTGTTGTTGCCTTGTGCCACTAATTAAATAAACGCAGATATTAATCTATATATTATATACAATCATAACTGGTATAAAGATAACAAAAACTAAACAACGTCTCAATCACTTTCATTCCGTTACGCTAAACACGCTTATATTAATTAGACATTACCCATTTAAAACAAATACTAATTATAAATTAATATACTTAAAAAATTAAATGAAAAAAAGGACCAATTTTTAGCTTTGTCTGTCAGCTAAGCTAAAGTGTTCAATTGAATTACAGCATTTTTTAACATTTCAGGCACCAACATTCTCGCCCATCAAAGTCTATGGAATGCATTTCAGCATATCGCCAACGCATTAATTGGAACATTATAGGCACTACAAATGTCCAAATAGAACGTGAAACCGTGAGTATCGAAATATTTAAATCGTTTGGTATCCTAAAAAGCGAACTTCAAATTAATGAATTTATTCATCTAGTACATATTTCATTACACATGTACTCATATTTTCATTTCTCATTTTATTCTCGTTCCCGCACCAATATGAGGAATTCATACAAACCAGTAATTTTAAAAATGAAATATTAAATAATTGGCTTTATTTTTTTTAGAACGCGCAATTAAGCATTCACGCAAGTCGGCATGGCATACTACATATATAAAGCAAGATACTATCATACATACGTAATGTTTACCAACTGTTCTGTATGTTTACAGGTATTCTTTCATAGGGCTTCGGATCTATATCTAGGGTTAAATCTTAACCATTGTAGCTAATAATAAAAAAAAAATAGTATTATAACTTGTATTATATAACGGAAGAATCATACGCTTTATTAAGTAGTGTATTCAGATACCTAAATTTGGTATAGTAGTCATTTTAAATATATGGATGTTACCTATTAAGATAGTTAGGTACATATCACCGGCATAGGTTGGATAATTAAATAATTTAAATCATACATTCTGATAAATACTAAAACAGGAAGAAAACAATTTAAAAGTACCTAAATTTTATGTAGTGAATAGACAATACCAACTGACACCCGATCGGGCGGCACTATCTGTCATGTGGAAGTCTTAAAATTAACCACGATTGTTACCATCCGTAGTACATTACTAACAATGAGCCACTAGTCACCATTACTACCAATGGTGACTCAGTTTTGTTAGTAACAGCACTGTAAGGTGGTACAGTCGATGCGTTAATCTGTTAAATCGATCGGTAAAGTTAGTCAATCTCATAAACAACATCATCCTTCAGTAAGGCTTTGCTCTGCCTTCTCATCTTCAATGTAGTAAGGATCAGACATATATATACGATTTACAGGCAGCCACTTTGTGTTGCGAATATGCTTTTAGACTTAAGTTTCTTAGTACGTTGTACTTATATCTACAAATATTTGATTCCCGCTTACTAAACCAAGCAAGAATTTATATACGGGTTTCTCTGTTATCTCTATTATTAAGATAATTAATTATAATTATCTTAATATATAATTGTATTTTAATTTTTATTAATTATATAAGTCTTGTTAGGGATTATTTATTGTGTCATTTGTTGATGAATGATTTGTTTACGTATGGTACTCGGTGATTTGTCATTTGTGAATAATGGAAAGGGACCATTCCATAGGGGCTAGTTCGTTTATATATTAACTCTAAATAAGCTATAAAGACCATTTGTTGAGTAGTTGTCTATATTTTTTAATGTTCTATCATGATCTCAACGTACATATAATGTACTTTATCTTAAGTTCTACTAGGTGATTGAAGTTAGAATAATTGACATTTAATTGACTCGGCTTATAAGTATGTTAATGTTACATTACATTTCTTAATCTTCTCTGGAAAATTAGAAGTACACAGTACTTTGGATTTAAATTGTTGTTAGACTTAATTTATATTATAAGTTCAGATGTTATTTCAGCTCTAGTAAATTAGTAATATAAGAATTTTTGTTGTTATTATTATAATAAAATATACCTTTGAATAAAGTGTCTGTCTTATCAATTCAAAAAATGAACAAAATGGCTTTTAAACTATATGTAGATAGTACATAATAGTTCTCCAGAATGGCAACACATGAGGGGCACTACAGGCATTCATCGATGACGTATTGTCAGGGGTGCTACTCATGTTTATTTGCGCCGGTTGCCACTTACCATCATGTCGGACATCGACTTGTTTGTCATTCTACTAAATTATATGTCAAATCCTTTAAATGATTACTATATAAGTGATTTAGAGTAGATGTTTCAATAATTATTAATGTTATAGGAGTTCTTTAGAAATTCCAAATAAATTTTAATCAGAAGGATTTCATGTGTTTTATTTTTAATTAACATCCCAAATAAGGCAAGTTTTACATTTAACTTACGTAACAACCACCAATAAATAGTCAAGTTACAGAAACTAATATTTGTCATGGTTAAAATGAAGGTAAAATTTACAATATATCATGGTAATAATAATAATAATAAATCTATTTATTGTCAAGTTACACAACTATACAGAATATTTATAATGATTGCCAATAGATAGCTCAACTATTGCTGGACTGATGTGCATCTAGCGCTGGTTTTCAGTTTGTACCTACGCGGACGTACCTACCATATGCTAGACATCCACACCATAATTTAATGAAATTAAATTCGAGGATATACATAAATAAAGTACGAAATTATAAATTTTTACTATTTTGCTATACAAATAAAGTTCTAAATTCTGTGAGGTTAATTTAAGTAAATTCGTACTGCCCTCCAGTAATAAATTATACGTTATTACTGGAGGGCAGTACGAACTTACTTAAAAGGTATACAGATAGGACATTTAGAGTCTATATAATTTATACATACAAAAACAGACATAACACGAATGCAATGCATGTATACGAAATACAAATTCAAAACATCGAAATTTGTCGCCGCAATTGAAAGGATCTCTCTCTATCTAAGATAGTTTAGAGGATGGTAAGATAAGCATGAGGTCAGAATAGTTATCCCATCGTGCCAAATTCAATAGGAACTTATCACAATGATTTTTAAGGGGAACCGCGTGGAAATTAGTTTAACTTAGTGCATTGCTAGCAACGGGGTTATTCGCACTCTATTAACAATGTCTTTTACCCTATAAGTTCAAGTTCACTTACACCACCATAAAAGTAGGTAGCGCTACCAAAAAAACGACTAACCCCAGGGTAGTGTTCTGGCCCCACTGCTCTTTAATATATACACAAACGACCAACCAATATTAACAGATACTAAGCACTTCCTATATGCCGACGACCTAGCATTGGCGGCCCAAACAAAAACTTTCGAGGAAGCCGAAGGGAGGTTGCAAGGTGCTCTCCAAAGTTTAGACAAATATTATGACGACGATTCTCTCAGACCCAATCCATCTAAAACGCAGTCTTGCGCTTTCCATCTGCGGAATCTACAAGCGAACCGTAAGCTTAACATCTCATGGCGAGGCATACCGATTGAACACTCTCCTAATCCTAGGTACCTGGGTGTTACCCTAGATAGGTCCCTCACCTACAAAGCTCATTGCCTCAACACAAAAAAAAAAGATAGGAACACGGAACAACCTATTACGGTGGTTAGCATCCACGTCCTGGGGCGCGGCGCCGTATGTCCTTCGTGTATCTGGCCTGGCATTGGTTTTCTCCGTGGGTGAATATGCATGTCCAGTATGGCATCGGTCCACCCACGCGAAAGAGGTCGACATTGCTCTCAATGAGACATGTCGTATTATAACGGGCTGCCTCAAACCGACACCCCTAAACATGCTGTATCCACTCACAGGAATTGCTCCACCAGATGTTCGACGACAGGTGTTGTGCGAGACAGAAAATAGGAGACAAGAAACCGCCATCTACTTCATAACCACTCTATACCCGATGTCCACTTAAAAAGCAGGAAGAGTTTTTTAAGAAGGACAAGTGCTTTGACCATCGACCCACATAAAGCCAAAGTAAACTTATAAATCATCCTGCTCCTTTGGACTCTATTCAACCAGTCGAACACCTGCCCCCAGGTAGCGACCTGCAATGGCCCTCGCAAATGGAAATCGCTCAACAGACTACGAATCCAGATGGGCCGTTGCAGGTACAACTTGGTAAAGTGTACAGACTATGGCACACCTGCTGGCTTGTCCTTTGTGCCCAGCATCCTGAACAAAGGGGGACCTAAGGGATGCGACGGAGTGCGCAAGGGTTGTCGCGGCGTCCTAGGGAAAATATATTTAAATATCTTCTTCTTCGTTTCAACGGCAACCATATGTATTTGGTTGCCGTTGTAGAAAAAGACCCTATAAGTCATATTATTACGACACAGATAGCGTTATCATTATATTATTACGTGAAGCAAATACTTTGTATTCTTCTCTCTTATACTTTCTCCTCCTCTTTTTAAGAAAATTGCGGGATCGGAGGGGTATAATATTTCGGAATTTTCCTTACTCCCTTAAATTCGAATGTAACTCTGTATGTTTGTCTCGCTTTCACGCCGAAACTTCTGAACTGATTTAAATGAAATTTGAAATAGACCCCGAGAAAGGACAATGGCTACTTTTTAATGCGAAAGAGAGTTCTAAGGGGAAATGAGAGACGAACAGTTGTATGGAAGTATCGTCATTTTTAAAACTAAAAGTTTGAGACTATTGACTAAATATAAATAAAGAAAAAGAGTTGTAAAGTATTGAAAGATTGTATAAGAAGTATCGTCTTTTTCAAATCCAAAAGCTTAAAACTTATTATTTAGACTGATGATGAATTGTATGGAATTCTGTAAGTCAGTTCGTCATGTTTGAAACTAGAACAATGAAACTTTTTTATTTAACTTTTCTTGGAATAGATTAGATACTAAAATATTTTTTCATTATTTATTCACTCTTTTACGCAGACGAAGTCGCGGGTGTGCAGTAATATACATATAGAGAAGTGCAACCGGCCATAATTTTTTTTAATTCTGTAATAAAAAAAACATTACACAATATCATATATTTGACATATACACGCATATATTAAATTGAATATGTTAATATTGGTTTTATTAAATATTATTTGTCTATAATCCTACTTTATGTGAAACATAAAACTAATTAAAATTTATTCTCGTCGAATATCGACTATTGACCGACCACTAATACACAGTAAGCTCAATATGGATAGGGATATTAGAGTTTAAAGTATGATATTTGTACTGAAAATTACATATTTATTTAATCCAAATATTTACCCTCATTATAACAACATTGCTGCTATTTAATCGGAAGTTCATTTATACATTTATGATAGCACTCTGGGGATATAGATTCGACAAATGAGTGGAAGCATTTTGTTGTACAAAATTTTATAGGTAGAAAATTGTCCAAATCACGAAATCAATGATAGTCCGTTTGGAAGCAAGGTAAGGTACTCGCCTTACCTTGCTTCCATGCGAAGGATGATGTATGGTTTGTAACTACAGTTCCTGTAGGCTAAGGTTTCTCGTGCAAAAATAATCGAAATTGATAATAGAATAATATTAAATAAAGGCTTAACTGATTACATACACTGTTGTACTACCTACCTACATAAAAAAAATTGTCATTGGAGTTAATACCTAATGTAAAAAAATATAAGTAAGTACATCAAAAAGTAATATATTGCGCTCGATCCCTTGTAGGGTGGACAGAGAGCGATTTATGTGGATGTTTATCTTTGTATGAGAAAAAGTAAACGAC